GGTTTCCCGTTCACTCAGGACCCCGGATCTGCCACGCCAGAGCCTGGTGGGAGGAGGGTCCGCGGTTCCCTGGGGACGTATCCCTTCGTTTGCTCACATCTGTCCAGACGCCTCCTCTTCACTAGCATGCTGTGGGGTTTTTCAGATCCCTTCGGAACACGCCCTCCCGTGAACTGCTTCCTTCCTCACTTCCCAAGTGCCATTTCTCGCAGGTGCCCCTTCTGGCAGGAGCCGGGCACCACCCACTGTGCAGCCTCCCAGCTGCCCCTCGGAGGCGGCGGTGTGCACAGAGCCGTGGTGATGCTCGTACAGACCTGTGACCCACGCGGTGCTTCCTGAGGTCACAGCAGCCACGGACTCCGCTACCAGGGACTGGAAGCAGCCTCAGCAGCGCAGAGCGTGAGTTTTTCCTGCGGTGTCTCCGTCAGGTCATGATCAGCGGTAGCTGTGTTCATCATGAGACTTGACCACACACGGAGGTGAAAAATGCTTTATTTCCGTTTAAAACATCACAATGCAATTCGCTCTGCATATCTGACACTGAATAGTAGTAGTCCTGGGCAACAGACACACACAGTTCAGTTTTGATGCCACAGACGAGGCACAAAAACGAACGGGCAGGTGACGCAGCAGCACCTTCCCCGCCTCCCTGCCCCGTTCCGTCCTCCGCAGGAGGCCCCGGGGCAGCCTGTGCCCCTCGCCCACACAGGGTGCTCCCTGGAAGCCCGGGAGGGGCTCCTCTCTCAGCCTTCCCAGGAGCAGGTCCGGCCCTGCTGCCAGGGAACACAACGCAGAGTAACGCCTCTGCCGCCCTCGGTATCTGCCCGCTTCATTCCACTCAGCATCCCAAACGCAGGGAAGTGGCAGGCAGGTAGGTCCTAAGAGGTCACCCCCAAGGCCTGGGTTCCCGAGTTTCCATGACTTTGTACTTTGGCTCAGACATTCCTCTTCAGGAGGAGTCTGCGACCTGTAACGCAGGTGTCCAGGCTCCCCCAGCACTGGGCGAGGCCGAGTCCCCGGAACCTCAGCAAGCGTGGGCAGGACCCTGCAGGACGGGCAGCGTGTCTGTGCACACAGCTTCCACTCGTGGGCCAGTGCAGGGCTCCTGCACCGTGCTGGGCGGTGCGGAGGGCCAGCCAGACCCCAGGCCCTTGGGAATCCAGGATCCGGAAAGAACCTTAGACAGACAGTCCGTGGGGCCTGGCTTTGGGTTTTTAAAAGCTCCTTTTCAACCTCTTTCGCTGTTTGATGGGACTCCAGCACCCCCTCTCCCCGCCCCCCGCCTGCCTCTCACAGACACAATGAAAGGGCACGTGGGAGTGGCCTGTGACAGCAGCACCTGAACTCGGGCAGAGGGGCCCAGGCGGCTGCTGGCAGCTCACAAGCGTCCTCGCCCACTCCGATGTCCAGAGCCCCCAACTCCGAGCTTCAGGGGTCAGATCAGCTTCCCGGGAGGATGGAGGCGGGTCCTGGCAGGAAAAGCTAGGCCCCTGAGGCACCTGGACCCCATGTGGGTTGGCTCCCGACACCCAAGTCGCTCTCAGACTCCTGCCGGGTCAGGCCGCACTGGGACCTGGGCTGGGGATGGATGTAGATTTGATTCTTCTCTCCCGCCCCACATGCGGCAGTCAGGTCATCTGTGTGGTCAGGCAATCTGGGGAATCACGGATCCGGCAGAAAAGACCTACGGCTTGGAGTCCGGAGACCACATTCCGTGTGTGACTTCACCAACGGGCGATGGAGTTCCCTCCACGGCTACAGCCACACTGCGGCCTCCAGCAGAGGCCGCCGAGTCCAGTCCAGGAGCCGTGTGTCTCTGAGATGCCGAGGAGCACTGCCAGGCATGGCGAGGCGCTGAGCACGGAGTGCCTGGGCGGAGTGAGGCCCTGGAGGTGAGGCCCGTCTTCTCTGTGAGACGTTCTGTGTGGGGAGGGTGGCCGGTAGCCCTGGAGGCTGGGAACGGAGCCCGAGGCAGCCAGGACAGCGCTCCTGTGAGCATGCGTGGTGGGATGGCTGGCATGCACTGTCAGCTCCGTGACAGATGTCCTCGGCTTCCCAACGCGTCTCTGCACAGCCTGGAGACGCCGTTCACCTACCAGGGACTCTGCCACCTGCATCCACGTGCCCTCCACACGGCCCCGATGCACTGTGACTCACAGGCAAGCACAGCAGCTCACACTCACCCCTGGCCTTCCTTCCTTCCCAGTCATTTTTCTTTATTAGCATCAGCTCTTCCGAGCACAGAATATCAGGAACTAAGATGGATGGACACACACACACACAACACAATACTAAAATATCAAAATATACCCATTTAAATAAAACACACACTTCAATCTCTGGGTCTGCTGTCACTTATCCATCGCTGTGTTTCACGTGATACGTGAGCCTCCCGGTGCTTTCTTGGGCATGTCCTGTCCCCCAGGTCCCAGGGGCCGGGGGCCAGCCTCACACCGGACTGACTCTGTGCCCCAGGAAACCCTGGAAGGCGGCTGGGCAAGCCCTTCCTCCGAGAACACGGACTCAGGAGAGCAGGAGCACAGGGTCCAGGAAAGCCTGGGCGCTGAGGGCACCTCTGCCTTCCCTTGTCCGTCAGCCTCACCTCCTGCCCACGTACCCAGAAGCGACCGTCTTCTCTCTTCACTGCAGGCCCTGTCGTCTCAGTCACTCTCAGAGGACAAGCTGGCCCAGCCCCAGGCTACTTCTTGTCTGTCACTGTCTGCACGTGTGTTGTCCTTGGAATGGCAGGTTTCCAATTTTAGTCCTTTCCCACTGCCCCCTCCAGTCACCCAAGCCAGAGGGCCCGTCTCGGAGCAGTGGGGGCTCTGCGGCGGGCATGGGGGGCTCTTTGGTGGTGAAAAGCCTGATGCAGGGTGCGGATGAAGAAGTGAGCGCGCCTGCAGCTGCTGGTGTTCTCCAAGATTGCCTGAGCAAATGAACTCCGAAGCTGGTGACTGAGAAAGGATGTTTTCATGGTCTTTCCCATCTGGACCAGGCCCAAAGGGACAGACTAGACCAGGCTTTTGGAGGCCAGGGGCAGCAGCACGTCAAAGACTCAGCACCAGGGTTATGGCTCATGTCTTCCAGCCCTTGGAAGTGCCAGCACTGGGCTGAACTGTCTGCCTGGGTCCTCCGGACAGGCCAGAGCCACGTGGAGTCCTTGGCAGACCAGTTCTCCAGCAATGACATCAACCCAGCCACTGGCCCTCACCCAGCCACTTCGTTTCATTGCACACGTACGACTGTGCTGGCGATTCGTGATGTAAGTGGAATGGTCCTCCGAGAAGGAGGCCTCACTTGTCAGGTGGCCCTAGAGAAGCCCAAGAAGATGCTGAGGAAGGAAGCCACAGGCAGAGGACGGACCAGTATGGCAGGCAAGCACCTCCAGGGATTGGAGTCCGCCACTAGTCTCCCCAAACAGCCTAGGGAGAAAGGCTTTGGCTGAAGTCTGTCCAACAGAGTGCAGGCTGTGCAGTGAGGGGTTGGATGGAGTCGGAGATTCGGGGCCGGACAGGGAAGAAGATGAACATATAGAGAGAGCAACGTCTCCTGCCTTGAGTAGGAGTTGGCAATGTGGGCTCGCTCCTGGCGGTTCTTCTGTTGGTCTCAGCTGGGCTCCCTCATGTCTGCAATCAGCTGTGAGTTGACAGGCTGGGGGAGGGGGAACTGGCCCTGTCTCCCATCATGCAGCGGGACAACCGGGCTCACTCCCTGGGTGGTAACGGCCAGGTGCCCAAGAGCAGCAAGAGAGGGCAGTCCCATGCCCACGGATTTTCCGTCTCGGCTTGTGCCACACTTGTTACTGGGCCACCAGCCCAATCAAATCACCTGGCCATGCCAGATTCAAGAATGGAGGGCAGGAGCAGGAGGCAGGAGAACAGACTTCATTTCTCAGTGAGAAGGAAAGTGTGGCCATGTTTTTGCAATTTACACACATTACAAAATCCAGAGGGATCTAGCTTTGGGAGGCAAACCTGTCATTTAGGCAACGGTGGGAACAGGAAGTGCTCCCCTGGAAGCAGCACCCCTTGTCTCCAAAGCGTCTGCAGTGGCCACAGAGAGGCCACGGTGGGCACGTGTCCGGGACCTGGAATAGCAGAGCTGCTGCGGCAGAAACTACGGAGGCAAACGCAGTACAAACCCAGGGAGGTCACGCGGAGTCCGTGGGGGAAATGGCCCATATTCCAAATACGAGAACACGTATTCTTTTCCCTCCGTTACTGCGTCCTCTCCTTTCGCTCCTGCTTCTTGTGCAGACGTGGAGCATTTACCAAAGAGCCTGTTGCATGGGGAGGGAGGCGGGGCTCCGTGTGGCCCCAGCCCTTGCCCATGATTCAGGCGTGTGCAGCAGAGAGAAACGGAAAAGGAATCCACGTAGACAGCTTTTCAAACAGGTATGTACTCTCTTCCGTGTTGTGCCAGCCACTCAAGAACTGTCCTTTGGAACAGCAAGTGGAAGTCATTTCTGTGACTGTCCAGCAGGTCACGGTCACAAGCTGGCAGCTTCTGCCTTCGGTGTAACCGCAGTCGTGGAGCAGAGACGGAGGAGAGGGGAGTAACGGGTGAGCTCAGCCTGAAGCTCTCCCGTGGTCAGAGGCCTTGTGATAGCAGTCACAAGCGCTGCCGCCTCTCGGCACAGCCAGGAGGCCCGGAAATGCGTGCTGGAGGCATTCCTGGAGACTAGCCGTCCCCAGCTCACTCCCGTCAGACGTGGAGAGAATCCTGGTGCAGCTAAGGAGCCTGGCGGGCGAGAAACGGGCGTGTGGAAGGTTCCCGCGTGCAGTCGCTTCCATGGCGGATTTCTCAAACCAGACAGACGGTACCGAGGTTTGGAATCAGCCTCGCTCAGGCTTCCCCCATCCCTGGCCAAGGCAAAGATCAGCCAACCTTCCAAGGTGGAGGCCGGAGGAGTCCCCGGGCCAGCTGGCTCCTGGATTTGTGCCTTGTCCCCATTGTCCACGTCTGATTCTCGTCACCCAGAGAGCTGTCTCGAACACATATCAGACCACGAGGGACATCCTGGTTGGAAAGTCGTTCTGGAGAAGAGCAGAAAGAGCCCAGCATGAGACCACACACTGTTTAGAGAACCAGCGCCACAGGGGGTGCTGTGGGCACAGCCCATGGCCTGGTCCGAGCCTGGCACCCGCACCCCCAGGGGTGTACTCACAGGACAGGTGTGCACACAAGCGAGTGTAGGAAGTTCTGCATGCAGGCCTCCCAGCCCACATAAGGACCAGATGGTCCCGCTTTTGGCGGGACAGTCCCGATTTCTAACAATTTTTCCCCTGTCCCACGGAGTTTTTATTTATTTATTTATTTATTTATTTATTAAATATATTTTATTGATTTTATACAGAGAGGAAGGGAGAGAGATAGAGAGCTAGAAACATCGATGAGAGAGAGTCATCGATCAGCTGCCTCTTGCACACCCCCTACTGGGGATATGCCCGCAACCAAGGTACATGCCCTTGACCGGAATCGGAACCGGGACCCTTCAGTCCCCAAGCCGACGCTCTATCCATTGAGCCAAACCGGTTTCGGCAGGATACTCCCACGGAGTTTTTAAAAAGTCCCAATTTTTGGAAAGATTGGAAAGATTCTTACCAAAAATCGGGACTTTTTTAAAACGCCGCAGGACACGGGGAAAAAATTGTTAGAAATGCGAATTGTCCCGCCAAAAGCGGGACGATCTGATCACCTTACCCTAGAAACCTTGATGCTGCTTGTTAGAGATGGTCACTAGTGAGCCAACCTCTCCTTCCGCACCCCTGCACGCCTGCAGCGGGCCCCGCCTCCACCAGCCCCTCTCCTCTGCCCCCGCCCCGGCCACCCCAGCCGGGACAGGCCTCACCGGCTTCTTGGCGGGCTCCTTCTTCCGCCGCTTCTCCGAGGAGCCGTGGGCGGCCGGGTCGCGGCCGCGGCGGGACGGCGTGCGGCTCAGCTCCAGCTCGCTGTAGGGCGGCAGCGTGTCCTCGGCCGAGTCGCCCTCGTCGCTGCCCCGCGGGGCGCAGGCCCGGTAGGAGGCGGGCGGGGACCAGGCGTAGCAGGGGCCGCGCCGGGCGGGGGTGTCCAGGCTGCCGCCGCGGCCCGGGCGCTCGCAGGCCGGCAGGCTCACCAGCCGGGGCAGCGGCGCGGCCTCGGGGGTCCAGGCGCGCTCGGCCTCGGCGGGGGGCTCGCGGCTGCGGCTCCGCGGCCCGAAGTACGGCTCCGGGGAGTAGCCCTCGGGCGGGCCGTCCCCGAAGAGGCCCCCGCGCGCCCGCGGCTCCGCGCGCTCGAAGCGGCCGCCCGGCCTGGCGTCCAGGCCGTCCTCCGCCGCCCGCCGGGCCCGCGCGTACGAGTCGGCGAAGGCGGCCAGCTCGTCCATGGACACGGCCGGCACCCCCGTGGCGAAGCTCTTGCGCGACAGCATCTCGGACTTGGAGCGCTGCTGGCTGCGGGGAGGGCACTGGGTCAGGGGCACGTGTCTGCCCGGGGCCTGGGGCCCTGGTGGGAGCTGCCGCACCTCTCTGGCTGGTTCCCCGCAGGGAAAGGGAGGCAACGAGTCCCCCAGGGTCAGGTCCCCAGGGTCAGGGCAGAGCATCACAGTGGGGCCTGGAGCATCACACAGGGGCCCAGTGGGTGGGACTTTGTGACGCAGAGGGCGGGGCCTCCCGAGCATTATCACGTGACCTGGGGCAGCCTGTGCCCCTGCTCACACCTCAGCTCCCTGGGTACCAGTGCGGCTGGCAGTTCACACAGCTGCGGCCCAAGGAGCCCCGAGATACTTGGTGATAAACAGGCCTTGTCCTCCCTCTGACTGACTGACAGGTCTCTGGGTGCAGGCCCGAGGGGCCCACATTGACGGGGGAGAAAGGGCTGCCCTTCAAGGGAGAGGTAGGTGAGTGAGGAAGGCGCCCCCATGGGCAGTGGCCCCACACCTCCGCCTCCTGCGTTCACTGGCTGTGTGACCCGGGGTGAGCCCTCAGCCTCCCTGTTGGGGTCAGTGTCTGCAAGTTAAAACAGGGACCTGCCTGTAGAGCTATGACAACCAGATGCAACAGTATGTTTTACCTTTTACATAACAAGTGAGCAGAAAGGGTGAGCTGGTGGATGGGGTATGTGAGGGCACGGGATAAACAGGTGAGAAGGCAGGGGAAGGCTAAAAGGTCTAAGAGGACGGGAGGGCCCATGTCACAGCGCTGGAAGGTGACTGCACGTGTCATGTTCCTTAGTGAGTGTGGGGAGGGGTGTTCTCATAGAGAGAGAATGTGGCAGGAAACCTGGAATGGCAGGCAGAGGTGTGATCGGGTACAAACAGCCTCGGATCCACCTGCCTCCTGCTCCTGCCCTCACACCCAGCCCCTGAGCCGCCCCGCCAGCCCTTCACCTGAGCCTGAAGCTGTCCCGGTCCTCCCTGTTGTACTCCATGGCCGAGGGCCCCCGGCTCGCCCCGCTGCTGCCTCCCATGACGTCCGGCCAGTAGTCGGCATTGCTCTCCAGGTCCCGGGACACGGGGAGCTGCTTGCTCCGCATCTGGTGGTAGGACTGGCGGAAACTGCCGTCCTCCTCGTGCAGGGAGCTGAGTTCCGAGATGGTGTTGTTATCTGCAGGGATGAAATGAGGCAGGACAGCGTTCTACGTGCTGCACAGGCGGGACCGCTGGCCAGAGTGAGACCACGAGCCTCGGGAACCCCACCCGGCGCTCAGCCCCGTCCGTCCAGGGCGGCGAGCACCTGAACGAGCCTGTTTGTGTCCTTAGCTTGGCGGGCGCGAGTCCAGCTCGAAGCTCACTTGCCCAGAGTAGGAGGCTTCTGTCCTCGGACTGGGAGAACAGTCGTCATTGCTCCCCCCAGGGCAGGCTCCCCAGCACGTGGGCCTGCAGCGGTCTCCTCCCAGGACATCGTCACCTTGTGCAAATGTGTGTCGTCTTCTTGTGAGATTCTGTGCTGAGCTGTGGCGACCCCAGGCATGTTGAGCCCAAAGGGGTAACGGCGAGAGGAACCCCAGATCACAGTGTCTTCCCTCCTGCTGGCTGAGGCCCGAGGCGGGGCCTTCAGGGCGAGTACCGCCCCAGCAGCGGGAGCACCCATGCCAACCTCCTTCAGCCATGCCCATCCCAGAGCAGGGCGTCCACAGGGCCAAGGATCATGCATACCTCGTGTCTGACTGCCCACCTCCCACTGGGAGCTCATCAGGGAACCTGGAATACCCTCGCCAGATGGCTATTTCCAGGGCCAAGGTTGACCCTTCTCCTCCCGAAAGAGTATCCTAGGTGTATGTGGCCTGGTGACCAGGATAGCTGTTTGGAGGGGCAGGCAGGACAGGGGCTGCTGCACCAGGCTCTGAGCCTCCACGTGTGGTCTAGGTAGGACTGGCAGAAACTGCCGTCCTGTGAGAAGGGGGAGGGGGCTGAATTGGCATGGCTGTGCTCCAATAAAATTTATTCACCAAGACAGGAGGCAGGACATGGGTGCCCTGGGACCTGTAGTTTGCTGATCCTTGCACTGGGATTCCAGACTCAACGCATCCCAAGGGCAAGTTCAAATGTGGGCCTAGTTCTCATTTCCTAAGGTGACCATGGGAGCTATTTACAACAGCACTCATGAAAAAGACCAGCATTGCAATCCGGAAAGAAAAATACACGCCTATTTACTTATGGAACTTTGAAATGGATCGAATGCCATTTTCCTTAAGAAAATGAATCTACTTAATCTATTTGTACTGTAATCCAAGCCATTTGTTTTCTAAAATCCTTTGGTTAGAACTTCAAAATATTATCAAAGTCAACATTTACAGCATGGAGGGTCTGGCTGCTGAGTGAGGTAAGCCGAGATGGGATGTGGGAGGCACACATGTGGGCCTCGTTCCCTCTGTGCCTTCTCCCGGGTCCCTGCGGACCGCTACTGCCCCAGGAAGGGAGGGTGGTCCTTCCCTCAGCGGCCCCTGCCGCCTCTCCGTCCCCAGGCCCCGGGCTGACCGGCAGCTCCGGGCAGCTGGGCATCAGTTGGTTTGGTGGTCAGTGGTTTTGAATTATAATCTAATTTTAAACCTGTCTTCCTCCGAAGGAAAATGGACTAGTTTATATTTGAGTGACAATAACTCAGAGCCTTTTGAGGAATAAAATCTAGAACCTTCCTTTCTCAGGAGTTAGTGATGGACAATCTCCCAGGGAGCACACAGGAGAGAACCTTACAATGCACCGAGGATGAGGACTGTCCGCGGTCACGTGTGACTACCGAGAAACCGCACTGTTGTCCCAGAACTGCCCTCAGAAGGCAGCGCGGCGATCCCTCCGGTCTGCTGGTCCGGACGGCCGTCTGTTCCCCGCTCAGCGGGCGGGTGGGCCAGGCTGCCTGCTCTACAGCTTCTGCCCCATTGAACATGCCCACACCCTCCTCCGTTTATGGACACCTGTCACTCAGGGGCAGGACAGGCAGACTCTTCCATAAAGGGCCGCACAGTAAGCATTTTAGGATTTGCCAGCCACACAGGCCTATCAACTCTGCCACTGCAGTGTGAAAGGTGTCCTAGCGAATACAGGTGTGCCTTGGCATGGCTGTGCTCCAATAAAATGTGGTCACCAGAACAGGAGGCGGGACATGGTGCCCTGGGACCTGTCGTTTGCTGATCCCCGCACTGGGATTCCAGACTCAAGGCATCCCAAGGGCAAGTGAGGGCCACATGGCTGGCGGGCCCTGGAATACCCAGGCTCACAGAGTGGATGCCCCCCTATTGCAACCTGAGACGACGGATCCACTCTGAGAAGGGACCTTTCAAGGCGGTCCACTTCCGTGACCCTCCCCAGGGTTCTCTGCCTTCAGGGACAGACCTCTCCAAGCCCCGTGAACGGCTTTCCTGCCTCATCTCTATGCCTTTATCGCCATGACAACCGGCAGCTTCCAGGACACCGGGGTCCAGTTCTGGCATTGGTGCCAAGGCTGGCACTGGTGACGTCCCCCTGCCTCTCTTCTCTCCTCTGCAAAGTAAGGGGGAGACTCAGCACCTCCGCCTCTTCCAGGTTTGACTCCAAGTCCCACGAGCTGGAAGCTGTGGCCACGGCAGCCACGGAGCCGCCCAGCCTGCTCACAGGCTTCTGGGTGAGAGCACAGGGCGGGGAGTCAGGAGGGCTGGGTTCCAGTCTCATTCTGTCACTGGCACCCTCCGGCTTCCGTGTCCTCGACTTCACACCGGCCATCTCCAAGGCCCCCGTGGGCACCAAGAGTCCATGACCTTGTGACCTGCCAGGCCCTGGGGACCATTTTCATCCAGGGAGACAGGACGTGCCAGCTAAAGCAGCCTAACTCATCTCCTGGATCACCGACTCTGTCCCCTTCCAGGGATCCATGACAACATGGTTACAACCAGCTCGTCAAGTGCGGTGACATCTGCATCCCTGACACCCCAATCTGGAGCCGGCTTTTTATAGTCGGTGGTGGGAGGATGCTGCTGCGCCTGCAGCTCCGCGGGAGGAACTCGGAGCCGCGAACGCGGAGGAACTGGCTGTCCTTGTCCGCACAGAGCTCCTTTCAGCTGTGTTCATGGTGGCCCAGAAATTCCATCGCATCCCTGGCAGGTTCCAGGGTGAGGAGGGTTCAAAGAGAGTGTGGAGCCCTCGGTGCTACACCAGTCCCGGCACACCCACCCGGGCTGCCTCTCCCCAGAGCTGGTCATTGGGAAGCGTGGGCTGTGTGGGCCGCCAAGTCCCCAAGGACTGGGGTGGGTGAAGGGGCGGGGCCCTGCCCCACAGGATCCATGATTCAAAAGTCCCCTGACAAGGGGCAGCCTCCCGGCTTGCCCGTTCATTTCTGCTGCCGGGCATCTCAGTGGCACAAAGGCCTCTTCGTACGACACGCATCAGCACAGCTGTTCTCTCAGGCACGGGGCCTCCATGTGGCCAGTGCCGGCTGTTGTTCAGTGCGAGGGCCTCTCGTGTTGGAGAGAACGAACGCTCAGCTTCCATGTGGAAGTCTGTCCCAGAGATACTTAAAGGGGCAGTGGAGGGGACTGTTTCCACAAGACATCTCCACCCCCAGCGCACAGCCCAGCAGCACTCCCTGTCCACAGAGGCTGAGCCCAAACCCCCTGGACTCGTCTGTTCTTCACACAGAAGCCCGGGTCCCTCCACGCTGCACCCTCCATGGCCCTTTCTTCAGGATGCTGTCGCCAGCACCTGCTGGTTCTGACCCTGGAAGCCAAAAGCTGCCCAAGTTCGGGGACCCTGCCCCCTCCTCCAAGTCCCCATTAGCTGCGAATTCCTGCACGAGGGAAGGCCCCGTCACATACAACACGGATGCTCACAGTGGCCCCTCAGCCTGCGGGCCGGGTCAAACTGAGCCAGCTCCTTCTCCACGTAGTACAGGACCTTCATGGAGTCCCGCTCCTTGTCCGCCTGGATCCGGTAACCCTTGCGAACTGTAGGGAAGAGGACACGCGTGTGAGCTGGGGAACTCGGGAGACGGGGCCTCGCGTGCTTTCCCAGGTAGAAGCCACGTTCCCACGTGTGGCAGCTCCCTTCGGAGCCACCAGACACAGGGATCTGTATTTGTACACGTAAGACCCTTCAGCACGGTGCCCTCGGCAGGGGGCCCAGCAGCTCCACACAGAGTTCTGTGCTGGTGCCTGTGACTCCTGTGGTCACCGCTGCTTCCTGCCTCACCCCAGCAGCTCCACCCAGAGCTCCTCCTCTCAGAGCTCAGGGGGACCTGAGTCCTCCCTGAGCACAGACCCCTTTCCAGCCTGAGACAGACTGCTCTGCAGCCTGAGGCTCACACCGCCACTCGGCGGGAGTTCCTGTAACTTCAAAACAGACACCTCGACTGAGGGACGTGGACAGAGGTGGCCTGAACGCCTCTACTGGCCCGGGAGAGGGTGTAAGAATTCCACACCTGCCTGGTGCATAGGAGCTAATGTTAGATTATAGGCTAGATAGGCATTGGTACCAAATAAGAGGTAGAATACGTGATTATCGTTATTTTCTTATTTTTAAACACCAGTAATTCAACCTGCTGCTTGCTGTGTGTTACAAGCAGGTGCTGTTCTCAGGACTTAACAACAAAATTAAAGCATTTTGCAGACATAATCCTACCTCCCACACCCTCACTCATATTGTCAGGGACAAAAGCTGTTTGAGCCCCACACCCACTAAGTGTCACTCTTGTCCAATACCAGCCCCAACGGGAGGCCTAACCGTCACGGATAAGAGAAGGGAGGAGAGCAGGGAGAGCATGGGATGGGAACAGAACAATGATGGCAACAGACATATGTGCTGGGTGCTCGCTACGTGCTTGGCCACTGGCCCTCACGCCACCCAAGGAAGGTGCTGTTCTGAGCCAGTTTGTGGTTGAGAAAACTTTGGCTCCAAGGAGTTTCCTAACTTTGCCCCCAGATCACTGGCAGCTCGGAGTCTAGGGCCACAGTAGGAAGGAGAGACGAAGGGGATGAGGAAGAGGGGCTCAGGGCAGGAGGCCTTAGGCGGGCAGGGCCCGGTGCTGAGGCATGGTCCTATCTCTGCCCAGCAGGACTGTACCCTGAGGGAGAAGCAGGGGACCAGCGCCAGCATCCTGCTCCCACGGGGAGGCAGGCGCCACACGGAAGCCGGTGCCTCCGGGTCTCTGGTCACGTTACAGTGGAAAAAGTCCCCACAGCCATGTACACGGGAGACTGTGATAGGCGATTCCCCAGCGCCCGGGCCACAGCCTGGCACGTGGGCGGACACGGCGCCCACACGCCCCCTGGCAGGCTCTGCTCTTGTACATGAGCCTGTGCCGGGCAGCACGGCCATCAGATCGTGGCGTTACTTTAAAATCTCCACACGCCACTTAGTGACTCCTCCCAGAAGTCAGACCCATAATCCTTCCGCAGAAGCAATTATTAGAAGAACTGGTTTTATGTATCAAGCCGCGGTCTCCCACCTCGTCTGCAGAGCGGTGCAGACAGTTCAATTAAAACGCAATCATCCCACCAGCTGCTCTGTCTGCCCCGAGGCAGTGCCGTCTGATGGGTGAGTACAGGGCTGGGGGTGGGGCCTGGGCACCCTGTGGGCATGCCACTGGTTTATAGAGGGACCCCAAATAAATGGTCCCTCTGTTTTCCTGACTATAAAAGGTAACTCACCCCCTCATCAGTTTGGCTCAGTAGACAGAATGTCAGCCTGCAGACCAGAGGGTCCCAGGTTCGATTCTAGTCAAGGGCACGTACCTTGGTTGCAGGTGCCTCCCTGGCCAGTGCCCTGGTTGCAGGAGGCAACCAACCGATGTGCTTTTCTCTGTCTTTCCCTCTCTTCCACTCTCCCTAAAAATCATTGGAAAAATATCCTCAGGTGAGGATTAAAAAAAAGGCAACTCCCAGTTCCCACCCTAGAACCTCAGGAAGGAGACGACACCACGGACCAAAGCCACGGAACCGCAGAGCTCTCTAATCGGTAGGGGCAGCTCAGATGTCGCCACCTCTCCCAGGCTTTGCTTCTCATCACTCGAGAAGTTCTATCTCCTCTCTCTGTCTCACTCCTAACTTACAAGTCATTTAGTCTGAACCGTCATCACGGCCCTGGGTATATTCTAGCTTGTTTCAGGTTATTTGTAGAAATGTGTAATCTCCCCAGATTCCGCAGGGACAGGAGTCCTTGTCATTTTGTGTAAAAGCACTCAGGACCTCGCTGTACCCAGAGCAGCACTTACTGAGGGCGTGTGAGCTGCCGCCAGCAGGGCGCAGCGGGGTTCCTGGTTTCCTTGGGAGTCTTTCCAGTACTTTCCCTCTAGACGGCCAACTTCCTGAGGGCAGAGAGGACCGGTCCTCTGCTTCTCTCTCACCCCAGCACCTAGCACAGCACCGACACCTGCTAGACATCCCGGATGTGTGAGAAGCCTCCAATGGCAACTGGAGGGAGCAGGCTTGGTAGGTTTTGCTTTATTGTTATTATTGTTGACGATACCAATGGTAAGAAGACTATAAATGATAATAATTGGTAAGAAGACTCACTTGTTTGCGGGTGTGGGGACAGGGCTGCCCTGCCTTCGCTGTGGCTTCGACTGCGTGTTCCGAGTGTGTGAGGAGCCCCATGTGAAATTCCAGCCATGAAGACTGAGCTGGGCTGTGCCCCCGGCGGCAAGGCCGGCCCCTGACAACCGCTGGAAGCCTGGGCTGCCACGCTGGAATGCATGTTCTGTCACACAGCAGACACGCTCACCGGACTGAGCGCATATTCTGTTACACAGCAGACACGCTCCTTGGTGTGTTACAGGAACCGTCCCAGCCGCGAGAAGGCAGCGGCTGCCTCAGTCCCCACGGTCCGGACGCCCGCACTGCTACCTGCAGGCTCGTGACCCCAGAAATTGAATTCCTCACTATCACAAAGGACAGAGGCGAACTATTGATCCTGAGACTTTGGAGGCATCACCCAGTGGTTCCAGGAGCTAAAATGCCAGGCAGTCCTCCCTTGAAAGGTTCTTTTTACCATCAGCTCAGTGCCATGGCGTGGCACACTGGGGCTCTTCCCTCATGCTGCGAGGAGCCGCCGTGTCCCCTGGGGCTCCGGGGCATAAAACCAGGCCTTTCCTGGACTCTCCCCACCCCGCCTCGATGAGGCTGTTTTCTCTGGGTACCGGAGAGAACAGCCTGATCAAACACTGCTTTGCAGTCTTCACTCAATTTATTTCATTTGCTAGCCCCACAACCACTCCCTAGACCAGTGGTCAGCAAACTCATTAGTCAACAGAGCGGCAAACCACGGCTGGAGATCAGCATGTGGCTCTGGAGCCGCGGTTTGCCGGCCACTGCCTAGACCATGCATTCCTTGAGGGGCAATTTACAAGCATTTATGAAATTTTTATTGATTTGAAGATAAATAGGATGGTGTCTGGTTGATTTTTTGTCTGTACTGAGTCTGAAGACCAGAGACCTATGCTGGGTGGTGCCATTTCAATAAGGATTGTCCCAGACCGGTGCCAAAGCCCAGTGCTTTGTGGGAAAGGAGTGTGCTCCCAGTGGTGGTCCAGTTTGGTGGGTGGTTTATCTCTCTCTCCAGGTTCAGTTGGGTTCACGTCCTTTGGTTGGTGTGGCTTCTGCATCAGCTTCTCTAACTCATTAGCCTTGCCAACTCTGCTCCCACGGGAGAGGGAATATTAGGGGACTCATTCTCATGCCACACTATTACGTTGAACCATTATTGCTAAAGATTTGAGCTAATACTTTTGTCCCCATTGAGGCTCAACTACTTTTCAGTTCATTTCCCCTTTGCAGCCAAATGAAACTTAAAAACTTGCAAATGACGCCCATCCCTAAGGCAGGCCCATGCCGTGGCCGTGGTCTCGGAGCGCCAGCTTCCTGAGCTGAGTGAGGCTCCGGGGATGATGGAGCAGCTGCCACCCCCAGTGACAGCGTCAGCCATGAGGAGGTGGAGCTGGAAATGCGTGTTCTCTGTGTGCACACAGCGGGCACAGAGACACATCCTCATTAGTTTTGAAAATGACATTTCCAAACCCTACCTGCCTACTCAATTCTTTTGCTAGAAGGGTGAGGGGAGGCAGGTAGATGTGACGAGGAAGTGGGTTGGAGTGAGGGAAAAGTGGATGCGGGAAGAGCAGGTAGATCATTCCACTCGAGCAGGTGGGAGGTGGTGGCAGAAGGGACCAGGGCTGGGGTGGAGATGGGGGACCAGGGCTGGGGTGGAGATGGGGGACCAGGGCTGGGATGGAGATGGGGGACCAGGGCTGGGATGGAGATGTGGACCAGGGCTGGAATGGAGATGGAGGGCAGAAAACTGGTTCGAAGTTATTCTGAGCTACAGTCTGAAGGACTTGCTGACCAACTGGATGCGGGGAGTGAGGGTGAGGACGAGAGGAGGGTGGAGTCCCAGCTTCACTGAAATAAGAAACGGCCAAGCTGAAGTGGACAAACAGCAGGTTAATTCCATTTCGCAGAGGCTGGGGTTGTAAAGCCCGCCGGCCTCCAGGGAGACGTGAGAACGGCAGTGGGACCCGGGGACTGGGGATCAGAGAAGTCGGAGGCATCGGCGTACAGACCATGGCTACAGCCTGGGCGTGAGTCCATTTCTGGGGGGGAGGCAGGAACACTGGCCTCTGGGCCACACAAAGGGACAGCTGGCAGGTAGAAAATGTCACAGACCACCACGAGGAGGAAGGCAAAGCCAAGAGTGGGTGAGGGTGCAGGTCCCTGGTAGCTCGGGGAGCCAGGATGGAGGAGGACCCACTGGCCTCAGCAAGAGGCGGCCTGGTGGGCTGGCTTCTGCACTGAGGGCAAGAGCGAGATGGAAGTTTGGGGCACTGATGAGAGCAGGGACATGAAATGTTCAAAACTCTCCGGAGGAGGCTGGCAGTGAAGAGGCGCCAGGGGTGGGATGTGACCTCAGAGGGCTGCAGTGGGAGAAGGGGAGAGATGAGGGTGCTGTATGTAACGGAAGGTTTCCAAGGCCGAAAGGAGGAGGCCCAGAGGCAGGCAGGCTGGAGACATGAGGCAGAGCGGGCACCGTGCGGATGCCCACGGGAGAGAAACAGAGCCGAGGGGTGGGTCCCGGCAGCGGGGAGGCAGCCATCTTTCACTGTAGGAGGTCCCCACCAGCCGCCGTGAAGGACAGGGGAAGGAATCGGGTGCCTCTCCCGTCTCCCTCGCGGTAGCGAACTGGCGGTTCTGTACGCAGCTCCTCAAAGCTGCCTTTGCAACCCCCCAGTGTGCAAACGACTATTGTGTACAAACAGAATCTGAAAAGTTACCGTTGCTAGGTGACTACCCCAAAATTGAGTTGGCATGTAAATATAAAATAAGCTAAATTTACATCTTTATAAAAAGGCCTTTCTTAACATGTCTAACATGCTTGAGAGAATAATCTACAGGAAACCTTGGCGTCATCAGTAATTCTGGTCGTGGGACCAGGAAAATAGAAATGTGCCCAGAAAGACACTCACACAGCCAGGCTGGTGTGACACCCCCTTTCCCGTCACAGACCCTGGTTTGTTCATTCCCAAGGTCAATAAGTGCTTTGCTCAAGAGATGTGTTATATATGTATATATATATTTTTGTGCATTGGGCCTCTAGTGTGTACACACACACACACACACACACACACTAGAGGCCCAATGCACGAAAATACATGCAAGAGTATGCCCTCCTTCCCCTAGCTGCTGGCACCAGCTTCCTTCTGGCACCCGAGACCCGGGCTGGCTTCCCTCATGCCCTGGCTTTGTCAGGAAGGACGTCTGGAATGACATCTGAAAGAGGAAGACGCCCGACAAGCACCCACTCTGGAAGGTCTAATTAGCATATCACCCTTTTATTATTATAGATAGATTGATTTCAGAAAGGAAGAGAGAGTATCATCAATTGGCTGCCTCCTGCACACCCCACACTGGGGACTGAGCCCACAACCAAGGCATGTGCCCTTGATTGGAATCGAACCTGGGACCCTTCAGTCCACAGGCTGAGGATCTATCCACTAGTCCCAGCCAACTAGGTTTAGGAAGGGGCCTGGGACACAATGCTCGCCACCAAGACTGCAGGTGTGGACGGGCGGAAGGGCTTCTGGCAAAGGCCCGTCACTCTGGACAAAGCGGCGCAGGGAGGAAGCGTGTCTGCTTCCTGCCAGAATGCAGTGCCTGGAGCGATGGCAGCCATCGCGGGAGAACCAGGGAGCGCCCAGGAGGACAGAGCAGGTGGAAAGAACAGCCCCTCCATGATGCCATGAACTGCTGCTCCTCCAGCCAACCCCAGGCCACCTTCCCCAGGGGCTTCTCGCCATGTGAAATAAGACACTGTCCTTGGTCCCAGCCATTTTAACTACACTGGTCAGTACGGCAGCCAGGCCGGAAGGACGGCACTGCCACCAGCAGGGCTGGGGAGGCCGGAAACAGGAGAGAGGAAGCCCTCGCCACTCTAGGAACATGAATCATTTTGTTATGAGACTTGCTGATTTAGAACTGTGGGGGAGGTTCTGGTGGGAAAGCAGGAAGGAGAGGAACTAGAGGAAAGGGGAGCAGCCCATAGAGTTGGAGACAAGTTCCCTGGATGGCTCCTGGCCCCACACCCGCTGGGCAGCGGCTGCCTCTCTCTCTCTCTAATCCCCTGCGTCTTTGATCATTAGCTTCCACTCCCCTGCCTGTGACTCATTTCCGGTCTCAGGCGGCAGGATTCTGTGAATAGTTCCAGGGAGAGAAAAACACAAATGCCGATCACCCACTGAGGTTGCCTGCTCTGTCCACGGTCGGTACCGACAGTTCACCGCTGGGCAAGCCCTTGGTCCCTGTCCAGATGCCCCTCCCCAAGCAGAAATGCCTGCTTTCCCCACCCCCATGGCTCACCCACCCCGGGGTTTATAAATCACCTGCTAAGTCTCCCACACGCAGCTTCAACCTTCCTGCTCTGTGGCCCTGGTCAAGGCCTCCGGGAGAGCGACACCTTAACGCGCTACCCCCATCCCCCTCCGCCCGCCCATAACCATGACCCATCATCCCTAGGTGGGCCAATCTCATCTGTACAGGCCTCTGCACCAATGAGCGCACGGCGGGCTGTGAGCGCACCACGGTTACCTCCACTTCCTGCCCGAGGGGCTCCTCTCCATGCACCTCATTTCAGCTCACGATCTCCCCCCAGATGCTCACGTGTCCCCTGAACAACTTCAGCTGCATCTCAGCTCGGGTCCGACTCACTCTCCCTGAAAACCATGTGGCGGTCAGCACCTCACTCTCCGCTCAGGACTCTGCTGCCGTGACTCTCGCTACAGCACTGAGCCCCTCCAGTGAGCCGGACCAGTGAGCCAGACACCATCAAGCACACTGTGTTCTCCCTGCTCGGGCTTCACCTGCTGCCTCCTGGGGGGGGGGCTCAGTGACTCCCCCCCCCTCCCCGCCCCCCAGTCCTCTCATTCCTGCAGCCCAGTTCACACCTCACCACTTTCCAAAGACTTGGCAGCCAGCTCTCTCCCACAGCCCCCCAGTCCCACGCTCTAGCCCCCAAATGCCTGATGAGGTGTCTTTCTGCGGCTGCAGCACCCAGCCGGACACAGCTGCGTCCACACGTCTTGGCACTCGGCACTGGCCGGTTAGTCCTGCACGTGAAGGAGGGAGGAGGAAACCACTGACTAGTTTCTGGAATGGAGATACCATTTCCCAAAGGGGCGTCCCCGAGCTGCCGTCAGCCAGTCCCCGGGGGAAGCCAGGAGCGGGCCGGTCAGGATGGAACCACATTACCGCTGCGGCTGCCTCCAGTGGAGTCGCTGGGAGCCAGGGGCGGTGGGTGCGGCTTGTCCATCAGCATGCCCGATGAGGGGGCTCCTCCCAAGGGGACGGGGGGGATGGAGTAGGGGCCGGGGACACAGGACACAGAGGGAGGGTACCCGGCCTTGGCTGCTTTCCCTGCTTCATACACTGTGGAGGGAGACGAAGAGCAAGAGATTATACGGTCCCACCCTCACACCCCTCAACCTCACGTCCCTGAGGATGCACTTTAGGGACCCCCTGGATTTGTGCCTGTGTGCCTATATGCGCATGCATGTGCGCGCGTGTGCTTATGCCTGCAGGTGCATGCATGTACATGTGTATACTGTATGTCTGAGTACAAATGTTAAGCATGAACACATACATGTTGTGTGTACCTATGTGTGTATTTGTGTGTGATGAGGGTGCTTATGTATGAGTGTGTCTATGCCTGTGTGTGTGCTTATGTGCGTGTGCATGTGTGTGTGCACGCCTATGTGTTCATGTATGCGTATGCTTTCCTAGGCCTGAGCCACTCAACTGGAAGCCCTCTCCCCGCTGCCGTGGACTCCTCCGGCTCCGTCAGCGGACGACATCAGGAAGCTCAGTGTTTGGCACCTGGAACTGAGTCACTAAGCGGCTCTGTGACAGCACAGCCCACTTCAGCGGCCCTGCGTAGGCGGCCCAGCCCCCCGGCTGCCCAGGGCAGCTTCCAGGGCGGCCGGAGCCTCTTCTCACGGCAAAGCAGGGGCTGCTTGTGAGCCCAAAGCGGAGCAGATGACCTGACTCCGGGAAGCGCGCTACTCCCGAGGGTACCAACCACAGCGCTGTGTCTCTCTCCGACAGCGGGGGTTCCAAACGTCATGCCTACCTGGGCCTGGCACCTGGGGAATCCCCAAAGGAGGACTCGCTCTCCTGTGGACCCTGTGGTCACGGGAGCACATGGAACCCGCCAGTGGCTGGACAGTACCCAGCACTGCAGTCTGCACACTCTGCTGCCAGAGAGGGGTTCTCTGCTGGGAGGGGCGTGGCCAGAGAAGCGTCCTCGAGTCTGAACGCCCCGGGAGAGGGCAGGCGCCTCTCCCACAGCCTCAGCCGCCTGCCCCTGCCCTTCCTGCACCCAGTCTCAGCGAGGACGGCACATGCTGCTGACGGGCGTGGAGGGAGTGGAGTGAGACGGAGTGAGTGAGTGGACGGAGTGGAGTGAGACGGCACACAGGGGTGTTGCTCTGGAAGCAGGGCTCCTGCGGGGAGGAGCATGGGATGAGTGACATTTGGGGCGGAAGGAAAGGAGGTGGAGGAGGAAGTCGGGCACACAGCTGCCCCATGGGTCCTGGATCCTCGGGGGCTGCCCCCCACCCCAGCCCTTTACTCACAGGCCTGGGGGCAGCAGCAGGACTCGGGGCAGCAGGGGCAGCGGACGTAGCAGCAGCAGCTGTGCGGGCAGCACTGGCACCAGCAGATGCCCACCAGGACGAAGAAGAGGAAGACGCCCAGGATCACCAGCCCGACAAACACCCACTCTGGAAGGACGCATAGGGAAATGGCATCAGGATGGCCCGCTCGCCCGCCCCTCCCACGAAGAGGCCAACGGGGGGCCGGGGACAGAGGGCGCAGAGCCCCAAACTGGGGAGGCACTGGGAGCGTGAGCAGTGCAGACCCCCGGGCTGGGGCGTGAACAGGATGGTCACCGGGTCACCAGCCATGGTGGCTCAGGGCCCGCCCGGGGAGCGGGTTTGCCATGCTGGCTGCAGGGTCAGGACGGGCGTGGGACCGGAGCACAGACTCTGGTGCTTGCAGGGCACGGGTCTGTGGAGCTAGAACGGGTTCTGCGTGTACGGATCTTGGGGAGTCGTTACTCTTGTCGCTGGAAGTGAGCCCTGACACACTCGCCAAGTCTACCTGGTCCCAATCCGAACGTGCTTGGTGGTCCGTGTCCTTACATCTCCATCCGTTCCCCTGCCCATCGCCCCGAACACCTTCCCTGAGCTCAGCATCGGGGCTGATATCTGTCCAACCCCCCAGGACCGGAGGCCAGGACAGAGCGGCCCGGAGAAGACACTGTTCCCGCCCGCGGCTGACCTGCTGGAGGGCCGCTCCCCCTGGAGGCGCGGGGGGCTGGCGAGCGCGCTTTCCCTTAAAAGCGAAAAAGCGACAGCAATTCTGATTGAAAATCATCTGCCCAAAACCCTTTCCAATGGACGTCACGTGTTATTTTCTTAAACTTGGGGTATTAAGTGCTCCGGTTAAGTGGCCATTCAGTGAGAGCTTGAAAACGTGGCATTTTTGTTGCGTAAGTTTGTGATCGTGGCAAAGCCACTGATCTTTGTTTAGACAGATTTCCTCAGAGAGGAGACTTCTCCTGCTTCCTGGCTGTCCCGCCCGCCTCCCCCTGACACAGGTTCGAAGCGGCCAGGTCCCAGCTCTGCAGGAGAGGGAGCCCTCGTCACCAGTGTGGGCGGAGAGGCCTGATGGCTGAGGCTTTGGCCGGGGCCTGGGAATGACGTCAGGTCACCAGAGAGTGTGAGCCTGAGGGGTCGGTGAGGGATGAGGTGTGGTGAGGCGGCCCAGGGCAGGCCAGGCCGTCGAGGAGAAAAGACAGCAGGTGCCCTTGAAGGAGGGCCATCCTGACTGTTACCCACAAGGATTCTTGCAGCCAAAAGGGAAGGAGGGGCATGCAGGTTCCTAGGAGCAGAGATGGAAAATACAGCAACTCTTTCTTGGGGTTATCAGCTCTGATGTGGAGAAGCGGTGCCGGTGCCGGGTAACATTGTTTCTCTGACGCACACACTGACACAATTCTGGATGAGGGGGGGGGGGGTGTCACAGAGACAGTCTGTGTGGCCTTGGGGCGAACAGGAAGAAGACTGTCTGTATTGGGCTGTTCAGTTACTGGGAAAGGGCCAGGGAATTCCTGGAATAATGAGGGATGCTCTATTGGGAAGACTCTGGGTGTTTCTGAAGCCTTGAATCAAATCAAAACCAATGGCTGTGGATACTGTGTACCTCACTGCTGCTGGCAACCTCAGGCAGCTCGGCCACGTGGGCAGACACCCTCCAAAGTGAGAGGGAACCCCTTCCCACCCCGAGTCTGGCTGTGGCGCCCCCTGGTCCATTCCTGCTCGGTCCGAGCCTCCTCCTTATGGACTACAGCGGCACCAGCCTGACCGTGGCTTGTGCAGGCCTCTGCGTTCAACTGAAGCCACACAAAAGCAGGGCAGGTGTCCTGGAGACAGTCCACAGCCCCCCAGGACCGAGGGCCCCCGAAGGCGCTGGAGCTGCACACAAAGCAGAGTGGGTGTGGAGATGAGCGCTCCTCACGGGAGGAGGGGGGCCCAGCTCTCACTAAGTTGGAAGAAAAAAGTTCCGATAAAGTTACAAGGGAAGTTCAGAGTAACATGGCTGCACACTGATGAATGGGTAACATAACTTAGGCCTAAGGAACGCAGACAAGGAATGACTCTGTTAAGGATACTTAGTGCGAGGTGGTGCAGCCGAGTCGCTGGGCGTGGAGCGGCCAGGGAGGTGCGTGCCTGGCATGTGTGGTCAGGACTGGGGACCCATCTCAGCCATTTTTAATTTTCGTTACTTTTTTAGGGTCTAGTAACAGAGGAAATACAATTTATCCCAATGGGCTTAGTTCATCCTGGAAAAGACCACAGATACATATAGACAAATGTGCAGATATAGTAAAGGAGCAATTAGTGACTAATGCGGAAGCCAGACAGATGGAATGACAGCACACTAAGCAAAGGAGGAGTTAAATGACGGAATACCTGGCATAATCTCCACAGCAAAACTGGGCAAGAGGTCAGCAAGCAGCCCTGTCCTGCCTAGAAGAGGTAGAAGGAAAGAAGGAGAGAGGTTACTCCACGGGAAAACGCAGCCTGGGCCTGGCTGGCTGGTGCCACCACACGGCCTGGCCCAGCCTCTTTGTGGTACCGAGGCACATCCGGGGGTGGGGCCCGGGCAAGAGAATGACCTTCCTACCGACCTCTGGCAGCTGGGGAAGTGACCGCTGCACCTACATCAGGGGAAGCAGAAACAGAACTCCCCTCCAGCCGCTATAGGAGGCGGGGACGCCTGCCTCACCCACGAAGGCCCTGACCAGCAGACAGACACGCACCGTCCACTCACGTGTGCATCCTTTACTGGAGAGTCCACCCCGTCCGGGTCCAGACAGTCCACACGCATCCCCACACCCATAGAAAACAGAGTGCATATTTACTTTTAACTCGGAATGATCTCGGTATATAATTCTAATTACAGCCTGGAGACATTCCAATGATTAACATTTCGAAGGCAAAGGAGAGAGAAGCTAGATCGGTCTCACACTCCTCTCCCCTGGCTTCGGAAAAGCTCTGTACGGTGTGGCTTTCCCATATGGCACCCCCAGCTGGCATGCGTGGACCCACCTGCCTTCCACGTGCCGTGGAGAGAAGCGTAAGGGTTGGTATGGGAACACGCAGGGGCCCCTCGAGGCTCGGCTGGCAGGGAGCTTGCAGGAAGGAGCCACTGAGATGTGGGGAAGGAGGTCAGTCCTTACAAACAGCCTCCTGTATAGGAAGAGGTGCCAAGCGCACCACATCCTCAGTCACAGTTGGGGGAAAGGCCCTGCTGGGACTTCCCTGCGCCCGACGCCCAGCCACGCTGGGGTCTCACTGACCAATGAGGTGACCAATGAGGAAACAGCTCGTAAGCCGCCTCCTGTCAGGCATGGATGGCAAAGGCTCACCCTGGCACCTCATGCTGCTTCGTTTACATGTGTGACGATGCACCAAGAACAGCTCTGTCCGGTGCAAATATAATGTGAGCAGCGGGTCACTGCAGGATTTCTAGTAATCACGTTAAGAGTAAAAAGAGGCCTCGCCCAGGCAGCTCAGTTGGTTAGAATATCATCCTGATATACTAAGGATGTGGGTTTGATCCTCGTTAGACCACATACAAGAAGCAACCAATGAATGCATAAATGAGTGGAACAACAAACCAATGTTTCTCTCTTCAATCAATTAAAAAATTGAAAACGAGTAAAAAGACTGAAGTTAACGGCTATTTTTACTTATACCAAGACAGCCAAAGTGTGAGCACTTCACAGGCCCCGAACATCACCTCCAAAGGGGGTCTGTTTCATGCACGTGGACTTGGTTCATTCAGAAACAGCCCTTCCTGTTCAAGTTTCTAGAGGCGGAGTCGAGAAAAAGTCACGGGTGTTGTTTACACTGTGAGCCATAAGGCCATGGCTGGGCACAAGCCTCTCCTTCCGCAAGCCGCCCCACGGAAAGCAGCTCCGACAGAGACCACGGAAAAGGCTTGCCAGGGGCGGGGAGGTCGCTGTCCTGGGGGCGCAGCGTTAGCGGGCGGGGAAAGGATGTTGGCTCACTTTGCTTTTCTTGGCTCTCCTCAGCTCGCAAGGCCAGCGTGGTCAGTGTCCCGGTCATGTTACCTGCGTGGGTGATGGCCCGACATTTAAAAAGCTCACTGGGACTAGAGCCCATTCCAAGGGCGAGGCAGCTTGGGGGATGGCGCAGGCCAGCTCCGGCTAGGTTTGGGGCAAGCAGAGCCTCCTTCTGTCTGTGCTGCATCTGCCTGCAGGCTCTCGGGAGGACATGTGCGAGCCACGCAAGTAATTGGGAAAGGCACCCTCGGGAGTTAGCCTAAGCCTCCCGGACCGGCTAGGTGGTGCCTCTACGCTCACACGTGGTCCCGTCCAGTTTTCTGGGATGGGAGGCCGGACTGGGCTCCAGGCCAAAATCTGAGGGCGTGACTAAGGGCACCAGCTGGCCTCACCTGGCCACTCTCTGTTCAAGTTTCTCTTGGAAACTCAACAAAGCAACAGACAGCTGGCCAAGGATTTGGGAACTGGGACCTGGGACATCTCTTAAAGGCATAATTACTATTAATTACCAGCCAATAGTCAATGAACAAGAAACCAATACATAGTGTTTTTAGTAAGCCAGGTATCAGAGACTTACTTTGACAATGAGAACAATCAGCACTTCTAAACGTGCCTCTGATCGTAGCGATACAATGAGAAGCTTCCCTTGCATTTTCTTTCTGGTTCCTAAGCCCACCAGAGTTTAAACATCTCTAGACATGTGATAGCTCAAGTCATTACATTCCTAATAGGAAGCACTGCTGACATAAGCTGCCAGTTGTGCGCTCTCACAGGGAACTAGCTCTATAGTGCCTACTAACTGTAAAAAGCCCAGGCATGCAAGGGGGAGGTGCGCGAACACATCACAGGACATGTTCTACGGAGACAGCAGCAGACGGGGAGCGAGGGCGGCACTGCCCCGAGTTTACTGGTGATTATGCAGGCAAGTCGCAGCCTCCTCTGATCTCCGTTTCCTCCTCAGTCAACGAAGTGCTCTCTCTATAAAGGAGGCCACCTGGCCTGGCTACCATTGCCCTGGTGTAGTGATTCAGAGCGCCTCCTCTCACCCCAGTGCCCTGATCGGACAGTTCATTGTAGGTCGTCCTGTCTATAGCATGTTTCGTTCTTAAAGCTGACACGCAGTGAACAGAGTTGCAAAAGCAACTATCTGCCTACAGGGACCAGCAGAAGTGCAAATTTACGCGCAGCCAGACCAATCTGGGGGGAGGGGGGTGGCAAACAGCAGGCTGTGTGTCCATGGGGGCTGTTCCTCCCCACATCTGGCCAGTTGTCGCCCCAGAAAAACATGTGCCTGCGTGTTTGCAGGTCTTCCTGTTTCTTAACCAGACATGAGATTTTTTACGTGAAATATCCTGATGTGTGAACGTTGCCAACTGATGCACAGAGTTTAAAGAGCACCAGATAAGCATAATAAACAGGGTATACACACAGAGGCTCTTGGGTGACCGTGGTGGTGGTCTGACCTTGCTCCTCTACCCAGAACGTCAGGGAACACAGGTTGTAGGCGCCTGGGTTCGGATCTGAATGCATCACACGCCAGTGTTAGCTCTTCGTACTGCTGGGAGCTGCGAGGGGCACAGGGAAGAACACTGAAGGGCCTTCCATTTTGTACATGTTTTTGACATTTGTAATTGAAAAAAAAATGAAAACAAGGAGAGGTGGGGTCAGAAATGTGGACAGGGCTTCACAAAGGTTGTCACTGGGACAGAAGGACAGGCGTCTCATTTCTCATTCTCCCTGAAGTCACAGCCCAGAGCTGACGCTCCTGAGGCCGGGACACGTGCACAGTGTGGTGGCCCCTGGATGGGTGGTACCCTCTTACAGGGAACATGACAGGATGTCCACCTTAGGACAGCCAGAGTCCGGGGACAGCGGGCAGTGCCACCGTCATGGCAGCAGTGAGACCTGTGCTCACTGGCTTGCACACCGGGTCTTACTTTATTGGACTGAAGGCACTTTGAAAACAGGTTTACACTGGGACCCTAGATTTCTGAAAAGCATTTTGCTTCCATCTTCTTGCCTAGTGATTCCTGAGAACGGCCTTGGCCAGATGAAAACGCTGTGTCTTTCTTTCCTAACCCGTCATGCTCAGTGCAGGCCTGACCCGGAGTCCACACAACTGCAGCGAACGCTGCTCTCAGAGGCCTGTCCCAGCTGGGAACTCACTTGCCCTCCTGGGTTCGGTGTAAGAGCGGCAGTTACATGTCACCGAATGTCTGAGAAAAGGATGGAGAGGTGACATTGCAAACAGAAGGCCATTTTCTCTTTTCAAACATCGCTAAAGAAAACTGTTCATGAGGTGCTTGTGTTCCTGAACTTGGCAGAATCCATCACCTTAAAACCATTTCCACAGGAGTCAACCCCACAACTTAGCACACACATGAGCACCAGTTTCACACCAAAGCATCATGTATGTCGCAGCCCAAAATACTCCCGGGATTGAATGATCATGGCGGCAGCAGCGTGCACAGTGGATAAAACAACTCACGTATCATACCTGCACAATTCCCACGGCCGCCATTGTTTGCCACAGAACCTTAAAGTTACCTGAGAGCTTTGTACTATTCCTCGGACCCATTACTTCTGAGTGTCTCCCAATCATTCATTCATTCATTCATTCATGCATCAAGAAATGTATACGGCGCCAGGTGGAGACGCAGAAGGGAACGAGACGAGATCCCTGCACTCTCAGGGCTCATGGTCTCGCCTGCAGCTTGTCTAGCGGTGTGAGTGTAAGAACAAGTAAGCGTCACAGGACTTACTGAGGTCAGGCACCTTCCTCCTGCCCAGGCCACGGCTCATCAGCCTTCTTGCCTTTTATCATCAGGTTCCACCTGGCCCTGAGGCCCTCCCCAGAGCCTTCCCCAGAGCCACGGCATTCTAGTCCCAACAAACCCTGTCCTGTGACACTTCCCTGAGACTCGAGTGCTCCTTCACGGTAGGCCAGCCCTTCCATGGACTTCCTTCCCTTCTTTCCTAGGGTAACAGCTCCTCACTCCTCACTGTCCTTGTTGGTGTGAGTTCTCACCCCGGACAGCCTCCCACCTCCAGTGTGGATTCCGACAGCCCGGAAGGAAGCTGTGCTGAGAAGGTGGGTGTGCCGAGCTCAGAGCACCCCAGGGGCACCCTGCCTTAGAGCTGGTCTCCTGGTGGCAAGGAGCAGCGCACTGAGGACGAAACCCTCCAGGCAGGGCCTGCGCTCTGTGCTGACGTCCCCAGCGGCCCCGCAGGAGGAGACACCTCACCTTTTGGACCCTGAAGTGTTCCCAGAAGCAAATCCCCTCTGTGGGGTATGCTGGCTTCTGATTGGCTGCTCACAAGGGTGCCCTTGTCCATCCCAGATGGACACGGGCTCTTCATCAGCACAGGAAGGGAGCCTTCGTTCACGGAGCCCTGGTCCATGTGCTGGAGAAGGAGGAGCACCCTGGACTCGGGGAG